AATTCAATTTAATTCATTACGGCTAATTTTGATTTTGATCTAAATAGTAGAACCGATTACTTATAATTCTGGTCAAATTTGCAGATCATTTGGCCAAGTTCAGAATTTTTGCTCCCTAATTTGGCCGAATGATCTGCAAATTTGACCAGAATTATAAGTAATCGGTTCCGATCACTGATTATCATTTCATCTACCCGCAAAAAAAAAAACAAAAAATTGTAAAAAATTGAGAAATACACGCTCACAAAAATTAAACCAAATTGAATATAATATGATCCTGTATTGATTTTAGACACTTTACTAGTGTTAGCGATCAACACACTGTATCTAGAATCTACATGTAGTATCTACATGTAGTATCTAGTACCAAAGTATATATAAAAAAGGAGGGAGTAGATCCTTCCTTTTATATAATAACAAGGAAGTTATACCGATACGTTCAAAATCAAATAGATACAACACAAGAACGGCCAAAAATATCAATGTACTACAAACTATAAAAGCCATAAAAGGCAAAAACAAACCAACAAAATTGGGTAGTTGTTAAAAAAAATTGTGGAAATTCCTTTCGTTATCAAATACACAAACTAACCTCTAATTCCCTTTAAGCAACTCAAGCGCCTAGTTATTATTAGGAAATAATTGACAGACAATAAATCTGCAAAAAAATTCTATGTGTCGAAATTTTAAAAGATGAAAAAACCATCCTATGTGATTGACGCAAAAAGAAAATGGACTTCAATCATATAAAATTTATGTATGATCAAAACCATTGGCGTCACTCATATTAAACCGACTTTAGACTGAAAGATGGACCTGAATAATTAGCATTATTAAATCGTTCTACAGGAATTGGGCTTAGAATTAACATAAAATTACGATTATTTTTCTATATAAACTAGCATAAAAACCAGCGTTACTATTCATCTATTAAAACTTTCATTAATTAACATAATGAACACAATCAATTGCAGCAAATATAATAGGAATAATTTGCTGGCTATTTTACTGTTATCTTTTATATTTTCTTATGCCTATGGTATCCAACTAGCCGTTAAGGTTCCTAATGGAGTAAAATGTCTTTTTGTAGAATACACACCTGTAAATGGTATTACTAATACTATTGGCGCCCCGTTTTTAATGGATCTGGTTGACACAGAGGGATATTATCATTTTGGTGACGCTATACCAGTACAAGAAAGCCTTTCATATACAATTCTTGCTTATTCTGATGTTCCCGCTAATGGATACTGTGGCGGAAATTGTGTAGCTATTATCAAAAATTTCAATCCTTCTGATTATTATATGAAGAATGATCCTTTGAAACTTGATATAGGTTTTTTTACAAATTGTAATGCGTATTATACTCAACTAGCTGTTCAAGTTCCTACTGGAGCAAGATGTATGCAAGCTGTATTTGATAATACTTATTACACTTCTACAAGAATACTTTATGTTGATTTAGTTGATGAACAGGGATATTTTCATTTTAGTAATATTGTACCAGTACAAATAATTAGTTCATATCAATTTTGGGCTTATGCCGGATTCCCTAATGTTCAAAACAAAACAGATCCTACTGATGATTCCTGTTTTGGATGGTGTATGGGTGCGGCCCGAAGTTTAGTTCCTACTAATGATATTATTTCGAGTAGTCTTTGGAAAATTGATCAAGGTAATTTTACACCTTGTTATCCGTCATAATTAGTGGTGCAGCTGTATTGAGTGTATAATTACGATCGATTGTAGTGAAGTTGCAATTTTTGGTAGTATTGACATAGATAGTAAAATGCTATGTCGTGGTTGTAATTCTTGTAGCATGTAGTATATTATATAGTAAATAATTCTGGTAATAACGATACAATAATAATAAACTAAATAAGCTATTTGTATTTTATATTTTTCTACTAAATTCTTAAATAAACATTTTAACCTTACCTGTAATTAAATTCTTTATAAACTAAGTTGTCTATGAAGTAATTTTTGGTGATTTGATGCTACTAAATTGAATATTAAATAAAAAAAACTCAATAAAAATGAAATCAATTATAATAAATACAAATTTTCTGTATCTGATAAAGCATTATCTTCTTCTGTTGCATCTATTATCTTTATTATTTAACAAAAGCAAATTATTAAACAATATCTTATAAATTAAATAAAAATAAATCATAAATTTTTTGCAATCTTTTTATAATGTCACCAAATTTATTATTTATATTTTATAGATTTATTCCAATGGTTTTATTATTGTTATACACTTACAAAATTATGCTAATTATCTTTTATAAATATATTTAAAAATGAATTTATTATTACTACAATTATATATAAATAATTGTATAATCATACTATTATACAATAATTTAATAATTATATAATAAGATAAATTATTGCAATCTATATAATCACTTGAACAATTATTTGATTTATCAGTACCGGTAAGTATATTTTTATATAGATTTATATAAATTTTTATATAAAGTTATATAAAATTTTATTAAACTTTATAAATCTAATATAGATCTATATAATTATTTAAATAAATCTAGTGTTTCAATCCATTATCCGCTTATCTATTTATCTATCAGATATCCGAATCTGAATTTATTCGGATATCCGTTTT